AATTTGAGTGGTAGTGGTTTGGTCTGGGGAGGGGAGATGAGAGAAGAGAGAGAGAGAGAGAGAGAGAGAGAGAGAGAGAGAGGAGAGAGGCAGTAGATAAGCCTTTTTTTTAAACGCCATTTAACATGCTTTAAAAACCCGAATATATGCAAACAACCCACTAGTGTAGTAGTTTTGGAGCAATTGCTCTCTTCCCAGGAAAGGTCATGAGTTCGAGTCTTAGCATCCGTATAGTGTGTGTAAGTTTAGTATATTATCGCCCATCTCAATAAAAAAAATCCTTCAAAATAGAAAAATAAATAACCTAAATCTATTTTTAAAACTATCTTCTCCTTGATTCAAATCTCATTATTTATTCTCCTTGATTTTCCTCTCTTTCTTGCTAACCCTCTTGCTTGGTTTTCTTTAGCAAAATCTTTGTTTATCACTTTCTTTTTCGCTCCTCTAAGATAAATACTTGATAATATTAAAAATTAATTACAAGGGCATAATATTTACAACAATATATTTCAACGATCCAAATTGTTTATTTTGTAAGTCTTTATTCAAAGATCATCTTTGTTAAAAATGAGCAAAATTGGAATCCATTAAGACATCTAGTTGTAATCAATAAATTGACAATTCCGGTGGTCCAAGAAAACATAAAAAATACAACCATTGGTTGAATAGTTAAATGATTTCGAATTCAAGTAATTTTTTTGCTGAAATAACCTTTAAAGAAATACATTAAAATAAAAAATTTCGATTTTGAAAATATAATTTAAAATACATATTTTCAATTTTTTCTTTTTCTTCTCTTTCCATCTCTTTGTTTTTCTTGTCTCTATCAATCCCGCCCTCTCTCTCTCTCTCTCTCTCTCTCTCTCTCTTTTTCTCCTTCTTCTTACGTTTGTCTTCACTCCATCTCCCCATCTCCCTTTTTTTTTTACTTCTTCTTCTTCTCCATCTCTCCCTCTTTTTTTTTTCTTCTTCTCCTCTCCATCTCTCCCTCTCTCCATTGCTTTTATTTTCTCCCTCTCTCTCTCTCTCTCTCTCTCTCTCTCTCTCTAAGAAAGCCAAAAAAATCCAATCCAAACCAACCCACCAAGTCCGGTTAACCGAAGCATTGTGTTTTCATCAATTATGATTTGGTTTCGGTTTCCAAAATAGCCAAACCAAAACCTACGGTTTGGTGTTTGGTTGAGCCCAAAATCGAACCAACCCAGACCAAACCCACCCCTAATTATAATTTCTCCATTTGTTATGTGTACAAGTTTTATATTATATTATCTTATTTTAATTATTTCTGGCAAAGTTTAGCCCGGAAGTTAGCAGGAAGATTGATTAGTAAATACCCAACAACAACCATCGAGGCCAAGTCAAGTCCATAATAAAAAAGAAAGTCGACTATGAAGTCTTTCTTCTTATCAAGTCGTTTTCTTATTGTCTAAGTCCGTTATCAAGGTTCAAGTCAACCCAATCAGAGCAGCCAGGAAATTTCGGATGCCATTTCACACCCACCCACCCAAATATGTAGAAAAGAAAAGGAAAAAAGAAAAATTTCACACCCACCCACCCAAATATGTAGAAAAGAAAAGGAAAAAAGAAAAATTTCACACCCACCCACCCAAATATGTAGAAAAGAAAAGGAAAAGAGAAAATGGGAAAAAAAAAAGAAAAAAAGGGTGTAGGCCATCCAATTCCACTGCCTCTGTCCTATTATAAATAACCTCCCCAATAACTATGATAACACACACTACTACTGTCAACCACCAAACTTTAGCTCCCAAATTCTCTCTCTCTATCCACTCTCCTATTCAGCCCCATCCATCGATCGGATTGTGATATGGCATCCCCTTCTACCTCTTTAGTGTTCACAGTGCGAAGGCGCCAACCAGAACTGGTGGCACCGGCTAAGGCCACACCCCATGAGTTTCAACAACTTTCTGATATCGATGACCAAGAAGGTCTTCGGTTTCAGATACCTGTGATACAATTTTATCGCTATGATCCCTCCATGCAAGGAAGTGATCCTGTTACTGTCATTAGAGAGGCAATTGCAGAGACCCTAGTGTTTTACTACCCTTTCGCAGGTAGGCTTAGGGAGGGGCCTGCCCGGAAGCTTATGGTAGACTGCACGGCTGAGGGTATCTTGTTCATTGAGGCTGATGCCGATGTTACGCTACAGCAATTTGGTGATGCTCTTCAGCCCCCATTCCCTTGCTTGGAGGAACTTCTTTATAATGTTCCTGGATCGGATGGGGTTCTTAATTGCCCACTCTTGCTAATTCAGGTATATATATATTTCTACGTACTTGTAGTATGTTACCCCAAATTTCATCACTAATTACTTGTCCAACAAACTAATTCACGGCCACCTTAATTATATTTGAAGGTAAAATACTAAGAAATAAAACACATACTATAACGTAGTACGGTACGCCACGAGTCCAACTTTCCTGTTTTCCTTTTCCTTGTGCCCACCCAGTTTCCCTCTTATTTTTCTAACACGTGTCCTGTTAACTAACAGAAGTTTAACTCTGTTTAATATGTCAATTTTATCAAATAATTCGTTCATCTTCATCTTCCCTTTTATAAAAAAAGAAAAGAAAAAATAATTCATCTTCTCTGCAACCCTCCACAAACAGCACACCTCAGCGGCAGCCCCCTCTGCTCCTCACTGCCCCCAAACCTCCCTTTCTCTCTCTTTGAATTTCTGCACCATATCACGATAGTCTGAACTCAACCCGACCTCTTCTCCCACTTCGAATGCATCATCAACCACTGCCATAGCTGTCTCTGTTCCTTTTGGATTTTTTAATGTCTTTAAACTTGTTTCTTTGATCGGTCGATCATCAACAAGACAAAGCCTGTGAACAATTGCGCCTCGAGATCACTACGGAGAAAAACGAAATTTAAGGTTTTTTTATACCAAAAATTAAAAAATTAAAATAGTTCTCAGTTCTCACAACGTTTTGGGGTTTTTGTTTTGGGATTTAGCAGTGAGAGAGTCGAGAGTATTTAATTAGTAAATAATTCACAAGGAGTAAAACGTGTCTTTTTATTTATATTTTTTCGGTCATAATCTTCTTTCTTATTAGTAAGAATTATTTTCTCGCTGACCAAAAAAATATTAATTTTATTATGGCGCCATTAGTTAACAGTGTTGTGGTGTAATAGGTGACGCGCCTCAAGTGCGGTGGTTTCATCTTTGCCCTGCGTCTCAACCACACCATGAGTGATGCAGCGGGACTAGTCCAATTCATGATGGCCGTGGGAGAGATGGCACGTGGCGCACGTGTCCCCTCCTTCCAGCCTGTGTGGAAAAGGGAGCTACTGAAAGCTCGTGATCCACCGCGCGTGACTTGTGCGCACCACGAGTACGATGAAGTGGCGGACACCAAGGGCACCATCATCCCACTTGATGATATGGCCCACCGCTCCTTTTTCTTCAGGCCCATCGAGATGTCCGCCATCCGTAGATTCGTTCCACAGCACCTAAGCAAGTGCTCCACGTTTGAGGTCCTCACGGCTTGCCTCTGGCGTTGCCGTACCATAGCACTTCAGCCAGACCCGGAGGAGGAGGTGCGCGTGCTGTGCATTGTGAATGCCCGTGCCAAATTCAACCCTGCTCTGCCCTTGGGTTATTATGGCAACGCGTTTGCTTTCCCGGTGGCTCTCACGACTGCTGGCAGGCTTTGCCAAAACCCGCTGGGCTACGCTCTGGAGCTGGTAAAGCAGGCCAAAGCTGATGTGACAGAGGAGTACATGCGCTCTTTGGCAGATCTCATGGTTATCAGGGGCCGGCCACACTTCACGGTGGTGGGGACGTACCTTGTGTCGGATGTGACGCGTGCTGGGTTTGGAGAGGTGGACTTTGGGTGGGGCAAAGCAGCGTATGGCGGGCCAGCCAAGGGTGGGGTCGGGGCCATACCTGGAGTGGCTAGCTTCTACATTCCATTCAAAGACAATAATGGCCAAGATGGGATTGTGGTTCCTATTTGTTTACCGGCCCCAGCTATGGAGAGATTCATCAAGGAACTAAATACCATGTTGAATGCTAATGACCAACCAAATGGGGTTCAGACGTCTACTACCTTTATCACATCTGCCCTGTAATATATTAAGTTGGAAGCATATACGTACGTATCTATCGCTGTTGGTATGAATTCAAACTCTCCTTAAGAGGTTGCATGTTCAAGCCACATTGGTAATAAATGTCATTCCTAGATTATAAAAATTATTGACTAAAAAAAAAAAAAAAGATTATAAAAAAAAAAAAAAAAAAATAAAAAAAAAAAAAAAAAAAAAGTCATAAAATTTCAGTATTTTATTTATTTATTTAAGGCCTCTAATGAAAGGATCGATAAATATCTACAAACCCACACATACGTGATTGTAAAGATTTTAGTCTTAACAACTGTAAGCCCATTATTAATTTTGAACAATTAATTAAGCTGAATTGTAGCTGTTAGGCAATAAATAAATAAATAAATAAAAAATGTACAAGTACTTTGTATGAATCTCCACGCAACACAATTTCACTCTTGTCCACAAATATGAGTTTTATTTAAGTACGACCCATTCAAGATAAAGTGTCATTTAATTACAATCTCTCATTAAAAAGAGAACACCCTTTGATTCCAACATGAATTAAGCTTTAAATAGAAGGGGTTGTGTGTTTGTTTAAGTTTGCGGCTGCACCTAGGTTGACCCTAAGTTGCATACGTACCTCTTTTGGGGGATCAAGCCGCTCATAGTTCTTTGGAGAATTTGATTGGACTTTCAAGGAATGAATGACCCCTTGAAAGAATTTGTGCTGTGAGAAATATTTTATGGATGGTAAATGTGGTTGGACCAGAGTTTCAATTTGATTTCGTGGTTTGAAAAGTGCTCGGGGTGAATTTGGTTAAGGTAAACTAGGGATTTTGTTTGGACTTGCAGTTATATCTAGATTGAATTTCCAAATTGTATACGTATCCTTAGCAGAATCAAACTGGACGTAGTTCAAAAAAAAATTAATGGGTAAGTATGGCCAATTAATTGAGAATTTGTGTTTGAGAGATTTGAGTTTGATCTCATTGAAATTTGCACGGTTAGATGACCCATGAGAAAATTTTGAATGGTTTTGTACCATTTGGGTTTTGGCATGGTTTTGTACCACTTAGGAAATTTAGGACTTTTGTATCAATTATTTGCTAACTGATACATTTTTAGCCTTAGAGAAATCTTGCTTGTGACTTGTGACTTTGAGACTTGGAGATCCAAAGAAACCTCTTCGAGAGCTTTGAAGACAATGTCCTTGTTTATTGCCTCAATTTATAGGCTTTGAGAAGTGTTGGGCCTTGGTCTTCTCAAGCTTTTCTTTAAACGGTTTGGATCAGGTGAGAATGCTTATGTGCGAACGTTACGTGAGAACACCATTGGATCTAATCTAACGGCTGCATCAAAAGGAATTGTAAGTGTAAGTGTTGTATTAGAATGAGGCCTTCTTCTCTCTCCTCCCTCCAAAACGTCGAGTCGAAAACAGACGTCCACTCCAATCTAGCTATTCGGTTTGTTCAACTAAGTGGCCAATTTTTTTATCGACTTTGATTGACCAAGGCCAATAACACTGAAGAGAGAGCGCCCCTGTTATTCCTTATTCGATTTCAGGAAGAACACAGAAGTATAGTCTTCATTTTTCTGGGTTTCTCATTCAGCTGTTCGGTTTCTCATTCGGTCTTTCTAGTCTGAACATTTGTCAATCCTTGAGCAACGTCTTGAGTTGGAATGAACATTTGTCAATCCTTGAGCAACGTCTTGAATTGGAAACTGGTGACCGCGACCGTTGTGCTGTTCTCTTGGTTCTGAAATCGTTGAGCACGGTCGAAATAAGGGTTGAGGAAGAAGAAAAGTGTGTGGGGTTGACGTCCAGAGAAACAGGGGTTGGAAATGACTCACGAGGTAAGTGATATATTGTATTTGTCAAGCTTATTATTGGGCATAAGCATGAGTTACATTAGTTTGTATGTAGGTCTTCAATATTTCACTAGAGAATCATTTTCATATCATATGTTAGTTAATGTATATATTTTGAAGCTCTTTATATTGTATTTGTCAAGTTTATTATTGGACATAAGCATGAGTTACATCATTTTGTATGTTGGTCTTTAATATTTCACCAGAGAGTCATTTTCATATAATATGTTAGTTAATGTATATATTTTGAAGCTCTTTATACTGTATTTGTCAAGTTTATTATTGGGCATAAGCATGAGTTACATTAGTTTGTATGTAAGTCTTTAATATTTTACCAGGGAATCATTTTCATGTTATATGTTAGTTAATATATATATTTTAAAGCTATTTGAAAGCATGTGCCAATATTGGTATGATGGTGGTGAATTCAGGGTTAAATTGCAAGAATTGCGAAATGGATTGTGAAGGACAGGTGACACCAAAAGTAAGGTCGGAGTTGAAACCAAAATTGGGACTTGAATTTGATTGCTGTGACAATGTGTTCAATTTCTATAATACGTATGCTGCGGAAGCCATATTATAGAGAGCGCCCCTCAATCTCTAATTTGAATTCTCATACTTTTTCCAATCAAATTGGACACTCCTTGCCTTTGATCTAGGCAACCCTAGCACACGGAACAGACATGTGTTATTGAAGTGGTTCAGCTTTTTTGGTTCATGTTTCTGCAGAGCTTTTGTGTCCATTAGAATCCTCAATCTCTAATTTGAATTCTCATACTTTTTCCAATCAAATTGGACACTCCTTGCCTTTGATCTAGGCAACCCTAGCACACGGAACAGACATGTGTTATTGAAGTGGTTCAGCTTTTTTGGTTCATGTTTCTGCAGAGCTTTTGTGTCCATTAGAATCCTCAATCTCTAATTTGAATTCTCATACCTTTTCCAATCAAATTGGACACTCCGTGCCTTTGATCTGTCCAACCCTAGCTCACGGAACAGACAGGTCTTGTTGATTTGGTTCAGTTTTTTTGGTTCATGTTTCTACAGATCTTTTGTGTCCGTTAGAACCCTCAATCTCTAATTTGAATTCTCATACCTTTTCCAATCAAATTGGACACTCCGTGCCTTTGATCTGTCCAACCCTAGCTCACGGAACAGACAGGTCTTGTTGATTTGGTTCAGTTTTTTTGGTTCATGTTTCTACAGATCTTTTGTGTCCGTTAGAACCCTCAATCTCTAATTTGAATTCTCATACCTTTTCCAATCAAATTGGACACTCCGTGCCTTTGATCTGTCCAACCCTAGCTCACGGAACAGACAGGTCTTGTTGATTTGGTTCAGTTTTTTTGGTTCATGATTTTGCAGAGCTTTTATGTCCATTAGAACCCTCCATCTCTAATTTGAATTCTCATACTTTTGCCAATCAAATTGGACACTCCTTGCCTTTGATCTAGGCAACCCTAGCACACGGAACAGACATGTGTTATTGAAGTGGTTCAGCTTTTTTGGTTCATGTTTCTGCAGAGCTTTTGTGTCCGTTAGAACCCTCACCCTCTAATGTGAATTCTCATACTTTTTCTAATCAAATTGGACACTCCTTGCCTTTGATCTAGGCAACCCTAGCACACGGAACAGACATGTGTTATTGAAGTGGTTCAGCTTTTTTGGTTCATGTTTCTGCAGAGCTTTTGTGTCCGTTAGAACCCTCAATATCTAATGTGAATTCTCATACTTTTTCTAATCAAATTGGACACTCCTTGCCTTTGATCTAGGCAACCCTAGCACACGGAACAGACATGTGTTATTGAAGTGGTTCAGCTTTTTTGGTTCATGTTTCTGCAGAGCTTTTGTGTCCGTTAGAACCCTAAATATCTAATGTGAATTCTCATACTTTTTCTAATCAAATTGGACACTCCTTGCCTTTGATCTAGGCAACCCTAGCACACGGAACAGACATGTGTTATTGAAGTGGTTCAGCTTTTTTGGTTCATGTTTCTGCAGAGCTTTTGTGTCCGTTAGAACCCTAAATATCTAATGTGAATTCTCATACTTTTTCCAATCAAATTGGACACTCCTTGCCTTTGATCTAGGCAACCCTAGCACACGGAACAGACATGTGTTATTGAAGTGGTTCAGCTTTTTTGGTTCATGTTTCTGCAGAGCTTTTGTGTCCGTTAGAACCCTAAATATCTAATGTGAATTCTCATACTTTTTCTAATCAAATTGGACACTCCTTGCCTTTGATCTAGGCAACCCTAGCACACGGAACAGACATGTGTTATTGAAGTGGTTCAGCTTTTTTGGTTCATGTTTCTGCAGAGCTTTTGTGTCCATTAGAATCCTCAATCTCTAATTTGAATTCTCATACTTTTTCCAATCAAATTGGACACTCCTTGCATTTGATCTAGCCAACCCTAGCACACGGAACAGACAGGTGTTGCTGAATTGGTTCAGTTTTTTTGGTTCATGTTTTTGCAGAGCTTTTATGTCCATTAGAACCCTCCATCTCTAATTTGAATTCTCATACTTTTTCCAATCAAATTGGACACTCCTTGCATTTGATCTAGCCAACCCTAGCACACGGAACAGACAGGTGTTGCTGAATTGGTTCAGTTTTTTTGGTTCATGTTTTTGCAGAGCTTTTATGTCCATTAGAACCCTCAATATCTAATGTGAATTCTCATACTTTTTCCAATCAAATTGGACACTCCTTGCCTTTGATCTAGGCAACCCTAGCACACGGAACAGACATGTGTTATTGAAGTGGTTCAGCTTTTTTGGTTCATGTTTCTGCAGAGCTTTTGTATCTATTAGAACCCTCAATCTCTAATTTGAATTCTCATACTTTTTCCAATCAAATTGGACACTCCTTGCCTTTGATCTAGCAAACCCTAACACACGGAACAGACAAGTGTTGTTGAAATGGTTAAGTTTTTTTGGTTCATGTTTCTGCAGAGCTTTTGTGTGCGTTAGAACCCTCAATCTGTAATTTGAATTCTCATACTTTTTCCAATCAAATTGGACACTCCTTGCCTTTGATCTGTCCAACCCTAACTTATGGAACAGACAGGTCTTGTTGATTTGCTTCAGTTTTTTTGGTTCATATTTCTGCAGAGCGTTTGTGTCTATTAGAACCCTCAATCTCTAATGTGAATTTGCATACTTTTTCCAATCAAATTGGACACTCCTTGCCTTTGATCTAGCCAACCCTAGCACAAAGAACAGACAGGTGTTGTTGAAATGGTTAAGTTTTTTTGGTTCATGTTTCTGTAGAGATTTTGTGTCCGTTAGAACCTTCAATCTCTGATTTGAATTCTCGTACTTTTTTCAATCAAATTGGACACTCCTTGGCTTTGATCTGTCCACCCCTAACTCACGGAACAGACATGTGTTGTTGAATTGGTTCATTTTTTTTGTTCACGTTTCTGCAGAGCTTTTGTGTCCATTAGAACCCTCAATCTCTAATGTGAATTCTCACACTTTTCCAATCAAATTGGACACTCCTTTCCTTTGGTCTAGCCAACCCTAGCACATGGAACAGACAGGTGTTGTTGAATCGGTTCAGTTTTTTTGATTGATGTTTTTGCAGAGCTTTTATATCCATTAGAATCCTCAATCTCTAATTTGGATTCGCATAGTTTTTCCAATCGCATTGGACACTCCTTGCCTTTGATCTAGTCAACCCTAGCACACGAAACAGACAGGTGTTGTTGAAATAGTTAAGTTTTTTTGGTTCATGTTTCTGTAGAGCTTTTGTGTCCGTTAGAACCCTCAATCTCTAATTTCAATTCTCGTACTTTTTTCAATCAAATTGGACACTCCTTGCCTTTGATCCGTCAAATCCTAACTCACGGAATAGACATGTGTTATTGAAGTGGTTCAGTTTTTTTGGTTCATGTTTCTGCATAGCTTTTGTGTCCATTAGAACCCTCAATCTCTAATTTGAATTCTAATCCTTTTTCCAATCAAATTGGACACTCCTTCCCATTGATCTGTCCAACCCTAGCTCACGGAACAGATAGGTGTTGTTGAATTGGTTCAGTTTTTTTGGTTCATGTTTCTGCAGAGCTTTTGTGTCCATTAGAACCCTGAATCTCTAATTTGAATTCTCATACTTTTTCCAATCAAATTGGACACTCCTTGCCTTTGATCTAGCCAACCCCAGCACACGGAACAGGCAGGTGTTGTTGAATCGGTTCAGTTTTTTTTATTGATGTTTTTGCAGAGCTTTTGTGTCCATTAGAATCCTCAATCTCTAATTTGAATTCTCATACTTTTTCCAATCACATTGGACACTCCTTGCCTTTAATCTAGCCAACCCTAGCACACGGAACAGACAAGTGTTGTTGAAATGGTTAAGTTTTTTTTGTTCATGTTTTTGCAGAGCTTTTCGGTCCGTTAGAACCCTCAATCTCTAATTTGAATTCTCATACTTTTTCCAATCAAATTGGACCCTCCTTGCCTTTGATCTAGCCAACCCCAGCACACGGAACAGGCAGGGGTTGTTGAATCGGTTCAGTTTTTTTTATTGATGTTTTTGAAGAGCTTTTGTGTCCATTAGAATCCTCAATCTCTAATTTGAATTCTCATACTTTTTCCAATCACATTGGACACTCCTTGCCTTTGATCTGTCCAATCCTAGCTCACGGGGCAGACAGGTGTTGTTGAGTAGGTTCAGTTCTTTTCGTTCATGTTTCTGCAGAGCTTTTGTGTCCGTTAGAACCCTCAATCTCTAATTTCAATTATCGTACTTTTTCCAATCAAATTGGACACTTCTTGCCTTCGATCTGGCCAACCCTAACTCACGGAACAGACAGGTGTTGTTGAATTGGTTTATTTTTTTAGTTCATGTTTCTGCAGAGCTTTTGTGTCCATTAGAACCCTCAATCTCTAATGTGAATTCTCACACTTTTCCAATCAAATTGGACACTCCTTGATTTTGATCTAGCCAACCTTAGCACACGGAACAGACAGGTGTTGTTGAATCAGTTCAGTTTTTTTGATTGATGTTTTTGCAGAGCTTTTGTGTCTATTAGAATCCTCAGTCTTTAATTTGAATTTCCATACTTTTTCCAATCACATTGGACACTCCTTGCCTTTGATCTGTCTAACCCTAGGTTACGAAACAGACAGGTATTGTTGATTTGGTTCAGTTTTTTTGGTTCATACTTCTGCAGAGCTTTTGTGTCCATTAGAACCCTCAATCTATAATTTGAATTCTCATACTTTTTCCAATCAAATTGGACACTCCTTGCCTTTCATCTGTCAAACCTTAACTTACGGAACAGACATGTGTTGTTGAATTGGTTCATTTTTTTTGTTCATGTTTCTGCAGAGCTTTTGTGTCCATTAGAACCCTCAATATCTACTATGAATTCTCACACTTTTCCAATCAAATTGGACACTCCTTGCCTTTTATCTAGCCAACCCTAGCACACGGAACAGACAGGTGTTGTTGAATCGGTTAAGTTTTTTTGATTGATGTTTTTGCAGAGCTTTTGTTTCCATTAGAATCCTCAATCTCTAATTTGAATTTGCATACTTTTTCCAATCACATT